CTCTTCACCTACAAGCTCTGTGTTAGACCATGTTCCTGTCATCTAATAAACCTTCTGTTTTACTGGCTGGCTGAGAGTCATGTCTGACTGCGGCGTTGGGGGGCAGGACCCTCTGGCTTCCCCAGGAGCCCCGCCTGGGCGGACTCGCTGTGAGAAGCACAGGGAGGGGCAGAGGATGCTGAATGCTCCGAGGTCAGACCCAGGAAGGTGGGAGCTGTGTGAGCTGTGTGTCCTGCAGACAATCTGCTCCCAGAAAGGAGACTTCCTCAGAATCCTGACTGGCTTTGTAGGGAGCAGTTCCAGAACATCGCCCGGGGACTCCGTGACAACACTCTAGTCAGAATTATGCAGCCTTTGCAAAATTCTAGGAGCTGTTTTTGGTTTTACTAGCCTCACTCCAAACTATCAGATTTGATGTGACACTTTAATCACAAAGTAAGTTACCCATAACTACTGCTTCGCATCTGTCAGTCACAGTTAACAGCAGTACTTCAAGCTACATCACCCTACATAGCAATCTGTTAAGCAGTTACATATATTGTGGGCTAAAACGCAAAGTTCACCAATGACTAAAGAAAATCTATGTGGTAAGACTGCCATTGAACAGGAGCACGAAGTCTGATTTGGGTAAAAAAGCAGCTCAATTTTCTAAACAATCCAGGAGTTGAGAGATTAAGACTGACAACTTTGTATGTGGCTAAACCAATAATGGTTCTAAAGTGAGAGGTTTCCGAGTGGTAGCCGTGTTAGTCTGTATCAGCAAAAACAATGAGGAGTCCTTGTGGCACCTTATAGACTAACAAATTTATTTGATCATAAGCTTTTGTGGGCTAAAATCCACTTCATCAGATGCATACAGTTAGGAGTTTATTTGTGCAATCCAACAGCACTGCTGAAGTTCAGGATCTGATTTTATTTACATATTTTGGAATGTTATTCTACCAAAAAAGAGCTTGCAAGTAGCATGCGTTCTTACAAGATCTATTTATGTGATCAGGTATTCCCATAAATTAGTGCCAAACAATCAAGCTGCTATTTTCAGACCCTCAGGTGAAGCGAAAACATGCAACACTGTCAGGTCTCCACAAATCTACTCACAAATCTTCCCTGATTAAACAGTGGTGGGGTGGGGAAGGAACATTAACATCAGTCTCTGGATGGCTTTAAGGGATAGGGCCACTGGCAGGGTCCATGGAAAGCACTGAATATAAGTTCCAGCAGCTGTGGGGTGAGAGAGAGGCTGCACCAGACCTAGATATCCCAGCTTGGAGAGCACAAAAGGCACATACTAGGGAGGACATCACTCCTAACACCTCCCCACTTCATCTTTCATACCCTCTTCTGCATCGCAGGAGTATGACAAATTCTCTAGACTTTGCTAATGAATTGTCATGTCATATTAACAGCAGCCAACTCTGACAAAAACAGTCAAGTGACTATCAGTAGTGTCATGACTGAGGCAATCACTAACCAGAATAGTTTAAATCAGTGGTTCTCAACCCACAGCTGCGGCCCAAGTGACATCCTCAGGGCCATACTGGTAGCATACATATTGTGTGGATTTGGCCCACATAACACAGAGAGCTGCATATGCAGCCCACAACAGTAAATAGGCTGAAAACCACTGGTTTAGACCCTAAGGTCTTTCAGAGGTATTTGTACAGCACCTGGCATCGTGAGGCCCTGACACAATAGAAATAATTCACTGGGAGGAGCACTGATACACTAGCCTCAACTGGACACCAAATACCCTAACCAGGCTATACACCTGATCCAGACTAGAGAGCCTACATAAAACCCATGTCTTCTCACAACTAACCATCACGTAGGTGACTAGACTAAAATTTACCGGAAAGAAGTAGTTTTACCAGGAATATCTGGTTGTCTTGAAGCCATGACTGTAATCCAGATGTTCCTCTATATGGAAACCCAGAACCGATTCCCGTTACCTGATAAACCAACAGAGAATGTTTTTATCTGCAAAAGGCACCAAGGCTACAGTAAATATGACCCAAGACCATCTTATGAAACACAAACTCGAAGTGCCCACGGGAAGGCTGGATTGGGGGGCTGCAGGATGACAACGGGTCTCGTCTGGAGTATTCCAGCCAGGCCGCAACCCCCCTGGGGGAGGCGTGTGACCCGCCCTGCGCCCACGGCCACCCGCCTGCCCGGAAAGCCGAGAGGCCGCGCCCGCCAGCAGCGCCACCGCCCCACAGCTCCCGCCGGACACAAGGCGGCCCCGCGCGGGGCCGAAGCGGGCCGCACCCCCCGGGGCAACTCAGCCGCGGCCCCCGGGGAGCAGGGTGCGGAGCAGACGGGCCTGGCCGCGGCCCACGCGTGACAGGCTGGGGCCCAGAGACCCCGGGTCTGCTCGGGCGGGCTCACCCGCGGCCCCCCCTCCCGCCGGCCCCCGGCAACCCCTCCCTCCCTGCCCACAGCCCCCACAGCCCCCGGGCTCCCTCCTTCCCGCCAGGCCCCCTCCCCAGCCAGCCCCACAGCTCCCTCCCCGCCCCGCCCGCGGCCCCCACAGCCTCCCCGCCCGCGGCGCCCCCTCCCGCCGGCCCCCTCCCCGGCTGGCCCCACAGCTCCCTCCCCGCCCCGCCCGCGGCCCCCACAGCCTCCCCGCCCTCCCTCCCGCCGGGCCCCCTCCCCGGCCGGCCCCACAGCTCCCTCCCCGCCCCGCCCGTGGCCCCCCCTCCCGCCGGCCCCCGGCAACCCCCTCCCCGCCCGCGGCCCCCACAGCCCCCGGGCTCCCTCCTTCCCGCCAGGCCCCCTCCCCAGCCAGCCCCACAGCTCCCTCCCCGCCCGCCCTCCCTCCCGCCGGGCCCTCTCCCCGGCCGGCCCCACAGCTCCCTCCCCGCCCCGCCCGCGGCCCCCACAGCCTCCCCGCCCTCCCTCCCGCCGGGCCCCCCCCGGCCGGCCCCACAGCTCCCTCCCCGCCCCGCCCGTGGCCCCCCCTCCCGCCGGCCCCCCGGCAACCCCTCCCTCCCCGCCCGCGGCCCCCACAGCCCCCGGGCTCCCTCCTTCCCGCCGGGCCCCCTCCCCAGCCAGCCCCACAGCTCCCTCCCCGCCCGCCCTCCCTCCCGCCGGGCCCCCTCCCCGGCCGGCCCCACAGCTCCCTCCCCCCGGCCGGCGCCCCCACAGCCCCCAGGCTCCCTCCCTCCCTCCCTCCCCGGCCGGCCCCCCTCCCCGCCCCGCCCGCGGCCCCCACAGCCCCCCCCCCGCGGCCCCCACAGCTCCCTCCCGCCGGGCCCCCTCCCGACCGGCCCCACAGCTCCCTCCCCACCCCGCCCCGCCCGCGGCCCCCACAGCCCCCGCGGCCCCCCCCGGGCTCCCCCCCCTCCCCGGCCGGCCCCACAGCCCCCTCCCTCTCCTCCCCTCCCCACCCCACCCGCAGCCCCCACAGCCCCCCCGCGGCCCCACAGCCCCCGGGCCCCCTCCCCGGCCGGCCCCACAGCTCCCTCCCTCCCGCGGCCCCACAGCCCCCGGGCTCCCTCCCGGCCCCATAGCCCCCCCGCCCTCCCTCCCGCCGGGCCCCCTCCCCGGCCGGCCCCACAGCTCCCTCCCTCCCGCGGCCCCCACAGCCCCCAGTACCTGGGCCCCCACGCCCGCCGCTAACAGGCCCGCCGGGGCCGCGGCCCGCACTGCAGCCGGAGGAGGCGGAGGCCGCCCGCGGCGGGGCGCGGGGCAGGGCGGCTCGCAGGCTCCATGGCGCGGGCCCGACCGAGCCTCCCCCTTCGCCCCAGCGCAGCAACGCCCGCGATGGGGGGAGGGGGCGGAGCATATAGAGGGCTACGGTCCCGCGATACTTCGGTGACGCAGGTTGCAAGATGGAGGCCGCGGGCCGCCGTGAGGCACGCCGGGAATTGTAGTTCTCCGCCCTGTGGCCGCAGGGCTTGCGCTGCGTGGCCCACGCACGTTTCTTGCGGGCTCCGCAGCAGCAGACTCCGCCCGCCCCGGGCCGCCTGAGCCCGCCCCGGGCCGCCTGAGCCCGCCCCGGGCCGCCTGAGCCCGCCCCTCGCTCTAATGCCCTGCAGTGCCCGGGCTAAGGGCCCGCCGCCCGTGCGTGGTCCCACGCGCGATGGACGGGAGCCTAGCGCTCCGCTCCGCTCCGGGCAGCCCTGGGGGCCTGCAGACGGCGGCTCCGCTTTCCAAAGGGTTCCGCGCCCCCCCCCCGGGAATGGGTTTCGCGGGCTGCCGCTGGCAGAAGGCTAAGAACCGCGGAGCGAGGGGAAGGACGAGCTTTGGGGCCTCCCTACGGCCGCGCCGCTTGGGAACGTGGGAGCCGCCCACGCGTGACCCAGCACGTGTCAGACCCGCGCTCCGTCTCCGCCCCCATCCCCTGCCGCAAACGCTGCCGCAGAAGCGGCCCCAAGGCGCGCAGGAAGCAGCGAGGCCCCGGCCCCGAGGAAGGGCAGATCCTGCCCGAGCCGCTCCGCTCGTGGCTGGCTCGCCGGCGGCGCTGGGAGCAGAGCAAACGCGGCTGTCCGGGCTGCTGGGACTGGCTCCGCTTGCCGCCCGCCCCGCGGCGATACCGGAGCGGGTGCTGCACGGTGCGGCAGCAGCGGCCACGGGCCTCTCCGCCCCGGAGGCCGGTCACCGGGGTGGGCCCCGGCATGGCATGAGCAGGACGAAGTGCAGCGCCGGGGGGAGCTGAGAAGCACGACCCGAGGAGCAGCGCCCCGCCCGCAGCCGCCGCCAGCACGCGTGGGGGGGGGAGCCCCCGCTGAGGGCCAGAGCACGTCCGAGTGTGGCCGCGAGCAGCCCGCGTGGGCAGCCCGAGGCTCCTGGCGGCGCTGACCCGCCCGTGGCAGCCGCGGCACGGCGAGCACCTCCCGCGTGGGCGAGCCCCACTCGCGGCCGGCGGCCCTGCCCACGGCGGCCGCCCCGCCTGGCCTCCGAACAGGAAAGGGAACCACCTCGCTCGCCGCCTCCCCTCGCCTCCCACGCGCGACGGGGGCGGAGCGGCGCGGCCCCTTTCAGGGCCTGGCTGGCGGCCCAGCCGCGGGCAGCCGGGCGCCCCGGGCCGGCGGCGGCTCTCGCCCGGCGGCCGGCCCCGCCCGGGCCCCCATGGCTCCTCCCGGCGCCTTCGGACACCTGAGCCTGGCGCTGGGCGCCGCCGTGGCCGCCCTGGGCTCGATCCTCTTCATCGCCTGGAGAACGTACTTCCCCGGCGGCGGCCGCTGGGGGGCGCGCTGGGGGCCGCCGCCGGCCGCGGGGCAGGTAAAGCCGGGGGCGCTCCGCGGCCGGACCCCGGCGGGGCGGGCTCTGGGTCCCGGGCCGCGCACGTGGCTGGAGACCCCCCCGCCCCGTTCCCTGCCAGAAGCACCGGCAGGTCTCGCCCCCCGTTTCCTCCCCGGGGGGCAGGGGCGGCGCCGGGCTCCCTGGCAGCGGGGTGCCAAGCCGTGCGCCTTATTGCCGGGGCTGGGGGCACCTCCCTTCCCCCCCAGGAGCCAGCATCTCCGGCTGGGCCTGGTCAGGGACTGCGCCCCCCAGGGCTGGGTGAGGCCTCAGTAGCCACGCGGTGGGAGCCCAGGGGGGCCCTGCCCTCCACACGGAGTTCTCCATGTAGCCCCCCCGCCCGGCCCCGCACCCAGCCCTATCTGCAGCCAACAGAGCCCCCCGGCATTTTAGCTCTGGGGCAAGCAAGCTTATGTGTGCCCCCTTCCAGTTGTTTCTGTCATTTTTGCGTCCAGAGATGATGCGGGCGGGGGGGGGGGGTCATGTGCCCCCCAGTTTTTTGTATTTTACCCCCCCAACCCAGACAAGCTGGGTGGCCAGCTAAGGTGAGTCAGGGAGTGGATGTGGTGTCCCCTCTTCGAGCCCCACCATGCAGGGCTTTACACGGCACCTGTTTCCACCCGGGTTTCCCGCCCCCTGGGTGCCTGCCCTGCTCCCCACACGCTGGCGTTTTGGTCCTGTCATTCAGAAGGTTAACTACAGAGCAGCCTGGGATACCTCCTCCCCTGGAGAGTTGGGCTGCTTCCTGGATGTGGCAGCCCGCCTCTGCCTGCCCCACTACAGCAATTCCCCTCCTCCCAGTCCCCACCCCTCCAGTTATGGAAATGGCATAGAGCCCCCAGGTTGTGCCAGGTCAGGGCAAGCCCACAAGGCACATACTGGGGCAGGGAGAGGAAGGCGCTTCACCTGGAGACTGCAATTTGAAGTTGTGGGTATACCTCCTTGCTCTCCACCTCTTCAGTGAGGGACCTGGGTCAGGAAGTCCTTTGCTAGACCCCAGGCATAAAGCTGGTTGTCCTCCCCTGCCATAACCTGTGGCCCCCAGGGGTTACAACTGCAGGGCTCCAAGCTGCCCGTGGGCAGCACTGGGCCCTGCGCAGGGAGATGCGGGCAGGGGGTGGGCTGACATTGAATTGTGGTTCTTGCAGGGGACATGGGGCACCATGTGGCCACTTGCTTTGCTTGTGCTTGGCCCAGGCAGCACCTCCTCCAGTAGCTGAGGGAACGCCCTTCCCTTTCCAGGGTCCCTGCATCAGCCACTCCACTGCTCTAATTCCAGTCCCTTGCTCTCCTGGCAGCTGGATTTCTCCATGCGGCAGGTCCTGGTGCTGGGCCTGGAGGGAGCTGGGAAGAGCAGCGTTCTCCACTACATCTCCAGTGAGGCAGCCAAGGACCACACAGCACCCACCCAGGGCTTCAACTCAGTCCAAGTGTACGCAGAAGGCTTCCAGATCGACCTGCTGGAGCGTAAGTCTGGCCCTGGGCTCCCTTGTTGGGGGCAGGGCCGACCTCTTGCCACAGAGTAGGGAGCTTTTAAACTAGTCCGCAGGGCTGGCCCACCTGGAGAATCCATGCTCAGAGCTAGCCTGCCCAGGAATTACCTTCGACTCCATGCGTGTCTGGTCACCAGCTGCTAGAGCACTTGTGTAAGTAAGTGCCTCTCAGTTTGGTTAGAGGTGCCTAGGCCCCTCTGCACTGCTTCTCCCCCACTGCAAGAGGGAGTTTTGTCTCCTTCCTGATGCCCCCAGGAAACACATTTAACAAATCTTCACACCCACACACCCCCGTTTCCCATGTCTTCTTCCCAGTTTAAGCCTGGGGTGCAGAGCTTCGGAAATGCACCCCTGACCCCCCCACCCCCCGTTCCTGGGCTGGCTGCATAGATGACTTCTGGCTCCTTATATCTCAGTCGGCGGCAGCCAGAACTTGCGATTTTACTGGAACCAGTACCTGAGTCAGGCCCACGTGCTGGTGTTCGTAGTGGACTCTTCAGACGGGCCACGCCTCCCTACAGCTCGACAGGAGCTGCACTGGCTGCTGGCTGAGGATCCTCGGTTGCCCTTGGTCGTCCTGGCCAACAAACAGGTCAGAATCTCAGCATCTCGTCCCTCTGGGCACTTGTAAGGCTCTGGCTGGCCAGGGACAAGGCAGTTGTAGCAAAGAATTTTTAGACCCCTAAGGCAGGGCTGCTTGGGCCCAAAAGGGGACACATGAAGAACCCTCACAAACCTCCTCCTCTCTGCTCAGACAGCATTCCAGTACTGCAGCGACGAGGGGTATAAAAACCCAATGTAGAATAGAAAGTGAAGGGCACCTTTCTTTGGCCTCGGCTTTGCTAACGCGTGTGTGTGCGCAGCACGCACTGCATATAGAAAATCCTCAACAACCCCTTCTCCTGCACACACTCTGCCCCTTGGGCGAGGATGAGAGATGCCCAGGACAGAGGAAATCCCGGTGCTCAGCGTCATATAAGAACATGTATAGAACAGAATTTAGTTCAAGCATATAACTCAGATCTCCAGCGTTCTAGCTGGCACCACTGTTAAATTGTGGTTTCCAGAGGAAGAACAACCATGTAAATGACCTCAATGCAAAAAGGGGGGCTGAGGCTCACCTAATTGCAGCCCTCTGAGCATCACAGTCCGCTCCCCCTACGCTGCAGGGATCCCTTCCAGTTCTTGGGCTCTGAAGCTACGCCCAAGTGCAGACTCCTCGCTTTCTGGGGCCACAATGAATGGGCATGAGCCCCGGCAGCTCCATCCATGCAGGGCCCTGCTCTGCCCCACCCTGCCATGGCTGAGCCCTGTTGGAAGGGGAGCTGCATAGGTTAAGGCAGATGGTGGCTTTGCAGGTTGGTTAAGGAGCTGAGTGACACCACTCAAACCCAGCTGCTCCTGGTTTCTCCTAGGACAAGGGTGATGCCCTGAGCACAGCTGAGCTGCACCAGGAGCTGGCCCTGCACACGCTGAATGGACAGAGGGAATTCTTCCTGCTGCCCACGAGCGCCACTCACGCTGCGCTGGCCAGTGCCACCAGCATCCGGCGTGTGAAGAGTCTACTGGTGGAACTGCTCTCCCAGCTCTGAAGTGCTCTTCACGCTCTAGAGACGGGCAGGTTGGACTGACCCTGCTGCTGCTCGTCTTTGCCTGGAACTGAGGTGCTGGACTGGAGACTGCTGGCTCTGCACTGTCAGGGGCCAGAGCCGCTCTACTCCCATGCTGCTATCCCCAATCGGCTTCTCTATGCTCCCCTGGGGAGATGCTGTGCAGTTACACCCCCCTTGGGATCTATACATGCTGCCCTCAGGACGCAGCGGCCCAGCCCAGTCATGGATCTCTGGCGAGATGGGAGAACAGCCTTTGTCCCCATGCAGCTCACGGGCGGAGTCTCCCATCTCTAGCTGGGGCACAGTGATGTTTACACACAATATCCCCAAGCCCCCCAGTGACAAATTGACAAACCTAAATGAAGGATGCGTAGGCAGGCCCCCTGGGTGCTTCCTGGCACAGGAAGGGCAGGAGATGGGGCAGAGGAGGGGCCATAGGAGCTCCTGCAGCGAGGCTCTTCTGTGGCAGGCAGCAATTCATAGAATCATAGAATATCAGGGTTGGTAGGGACCTCAGGAGGTCATCTAGTCCAACCCCCTGCTCAAAGCAGGGCCAATCCCCAATTAAATCATCCCAGCCAGGGCTTTGTCAAGCCTGACCTTAAAAACTTCTAAGGAAGGAGATTCTACCACCTCCCTAGGTAACGCATTCCAGTGTTTCACCACCCTCCTAGGGAAAAAGTTTTTCCTAATATCCAACCTAAACCTCCCCCACTGCAACTTGAGACCATTACTCCTTGTCCTGTCCTCTTCTACCACTGAGAATAGCCTAGAACCATCTTCTCTGGAACCACCTCTCAGGCAGTTGAAAGCAGCTATCAAATCCCCCCTCATTCTTCTTTTTTGCAGACTAAACAATCCCAGTTCCCTCAGCCTCTCCTCATAAGTCATGTGTTCCAGACCCCTAATCATTTTTGTTGCCCTTCGCTGGACTCTCCCCAATTTTTCCACATCCTTCTTGTAGTGTGGGGCCCAAAACTGGACACAGTACTCCAGATGAGGCCTCACCAATGTCGAATAGAGGGGAACGATCACGTCCCTCAATCTGCTCGCTATGCCCCTACTTATACATCCCAAAATGCCATTGGCCTTCTTGGCAACAAGGGCACACTGCTGACTCATATTCAGCTTCTCGTCCACTGTCACCCCTAGGTCCTTTTCCGCAGAACTGCTGCCTAGCCATTCGGTCCCTAGTCTGTAGCGGTGCATGGGATTCTTCCGTCCTAAGTGCAGGACCCTGCACTTATCCTTATTGAACCTCATCAGATTTCTTTTGGCCCAATCCTCCAATTTGTCTAGGTCCCTCTGTATCCTATCCCTGCCCTCCAGCGTATCTACCACTCCTCCCAGTTTAGTATCATCCGCAAATTTGCTGAGAGTACAATCCACACCATCCTCCAGATCATTTATGAAGATATTGAACAAAACCGGCCCCAGGACCGACCCCTGGGGCACTCCGCTTGACACCAGCTGCTAACTAGACATGGAGCCATTGATCACTACCCGTTGAGCCCGACAATCTAGCCAACTTTCTACCCACCTTATAGTGCATTCATCCAGCCCATACTTCTTTAACTTGCTGACAAGAATACTGTGGGAGACCGTGTCAAAAGCTTTGCTAAAGTCAAGAAACAATACATCCACTGCTTTCCCTTCATCCACAGAACCAGTAATCTCATCATAGAAGGCAATTAGATTAGTCAGGCATGACCTTCCCTTGGTGAATCCATGCTGACTGTTCCTGATCACTTTCCTCTCATGTAAGTGCTTCAGGATTGATTCTTTGAGGACCTGCTCCATGATTTTTCCGGGGACTGAGGTGAGGCTGACTGGCCTGTAGTTCCCAGGATCCTCCTTCTTCCCTTTTTTAAAGATTGGCACTACATTAGCCTTTTTCCAGTCATCTGGGACTTCCCCCGTTCACCACGAGTTTTCAAAGATAATGGCCAATGGCTCTGCAATCACAGCCGCCAATTCCTTTAGCACTCTCGGATGCAACTCGTCCGGCCCCATGGACTTGTGCACGTCCAGCTTTTCTAAATAGTCCCTAACCACCTCTTTCTCCACAGAGGGCTGGCCATCTATTCCCCATGTTGTGATGCCCAGCGCAGCAGTCTGGGAGCTGACCTTGTTCGTGAAGACAGAGGCAAAAAAAGCATTGAGTACATTAGCTTTTTCCACATCCTCTGTCACTAGGTTGCCTCCCTCATTCATTAAGGGGCCCACACTTTCCTTGGCTTTCTTCTTGTTGCCAACATACCTGAAGAAACCCTTCTTGTTACTCTTGACATCTCTCGCTAGCTGCAGCTCCAGGTGCGATTTGGCCCTCTGATTTCATTCCTACATGCCTGAGCAATATTTTTATACTCTTCCCTGGTCATATGTCCAACCTTCCACTTCTTGTAAGCTTCTTTTTTATGTTTAAGATCCGCTAGGATTTCACCGTTAAGCCAAGCTGGTCGCCTGCCATATTTACTATTCTTTCGACACATGGGAATGGTTTGTCCCTGTAACCTCAACAGGGATTCCTTGAAATACAGCCAGCTCTCCTGGACTCCTTTCCCCTTCATGTTAGCCCCCCAGGGGATCCTACCCATCCGTTCCCTGAGGGAGTCGAAGTCTGCTTTCCTGAAGTCCAGGGTCCGTATCCTTCTGCTTACCTTTCTTCCCTGTGTCAGGATCCTGAACTCTACCAACTCATGGTCACTGCCTCCCAGATTCCCATCCACTTTTGCTTGCCCCACTAATTCTTCCCGGTTTGTGAGCAGCAGGTCAAGAAAAGTTCTGCCCCTAGTTGGAGCTATTGCTAATTGTCTTTCCATTGTGCGAAGGGAGCAGAATCCCTCATGCGGCCAGGGCTCCTGCAGTGGGATTAATGGGGCTGCTGGTACCACGCTGTCCCATGGCCAGTTACTGCCCTCTGCTAGGGAGGAGTCTCCCTGGCCCCGCTCCTGTCTGCTCACAGTTGCAAAGAGACAGCAGCTCTTTACATGTACTGCTGCTGGGAATGGGCCAGTCTGGCCATGCAGGGGAGCCCACGTTCTCGGGGTGAGACTGGCCCCTCTGCTGGCAGCGGGAGGAGGTGGCGTTTTTGTCTTGCTCTGCTCATTGGAGCTGGCTAGCCAGGGTAGCTTCTGCCCATGGAGGGACAGTTTGGGGGGGCGGCGAGCTGGGGAGAGCCCAGTTGGGGCAGCTTTTCTCCCCTGCCTCCCAGGGACTCTTCCCTTCCCTTTAAAAAGCTTTGCAGGCAGGTGTCTCCCATGGCTGTGAACCACAACAGGTACCGGAGCCACAGTGAGGGGACACCTGTGCTGCTAACCCCCAGGAAAGGGGGAAGCTCCTGGAGTCAGTCGCTGCCCAAGCCGTCCGCCCTGCAGGGACAGATGGGGTAGGTGCTTAACAGACAGAGGCACTGGTGCCAGTCCAGCCTCCAAGCAAAAGTCTGCAGTTGGTACAGGTACATCCCTGCACTCACCCCCACCCACGGTGAGGAAAGGCAGTTGAGGCTCCTACAGGCCTGTACTGGGCCCATATGCTGTGTCTGGAACAAAGCTCCACTGGGAGAGTAAACCACCCCCAGCAGCAGTGGCTGAAACATTCCTGAGCAGCCCCAGGTGTGGGGCAGAGAGCCCTGCCAGAAGCAAGTGGGAGTGAGAGGTGCCTTGCTGGGAGACAAAGGAGGGGCAGGTGCCTGCTGTTACACAGGAAGGGTGCACCTGCCCATTCCTGTCTCCAGCTGCCTAAGGACCAGGTGCTTCCCTGGCTTGTACTCACAGCCTGAGTGTGGAAGAGGCCAAGGGTAGGTTGGTCTGCCTGCCCCATGTTCAGCAGGAGATGGGTGTAGAAGGGGAGAGGGGTGTTTTCTAGAGCTCTTTAGGTGCTCCTTGGGGAGCAACTCTTCCCCAAGCCATGTAGTTGCTCTGCTTCCTGCTACCCCCCTTCCTTCCCCTCTCCTTGTGTTAGGGGACGAGGCAGGGTGCGGGCAGAGGAGCTACAGGGCCCCCCAGCACTGGTGCAGCGCTACTTTAATGCATTCAGGCCATTTGCTGCTGCCAACCCCAGGGCTGGCATTGCAGAAGGGCACAGGCAGGGGGATCTTGTGCAGGCTGAGTGAGCAGAGCCTTCAGGGTCAGTAGCACTCAAGGCTGGCAGCTGCTCTCAGTTACCAAGGGGATAAGCCTGAGCCTTGTGCAGTAAGTCCCTCCGTGCAGTACCACAGAAAAGCCCCTGGGAGGGGCAGGCGTTCTCTAGGGCCAGTGACATTCAGCCTGAGGCAGGGGAACAACAAGTGGCTCTTTGCAGCTCCTGCTATGAAAACACTGTGATTTCATTAACCAGTCAGGCTGCTTTTACTATATTAACCAATTGCACTTGATAAAAATACTTGGTCAGCCATTTTGCTGTGAGAATAATCTATACAAACTAAATATTTCCCCGTCACACTGTTTAAATATGACTAGTACAATAGTAAATGGAACGATGAATTCACACGACTGTGGCTCTTTTGGGTGCCCCACTCACTAATCTGGCTCCTCACCCACTGAGGCCTGGGTAGCACTCTGGTAGAGATAAGGGCAAGCGTGAGTCCCTGCTGGTGAACGTGTAGCACTGGGGAAAGGCAGCACCCTGCCAGCCTCTCCTCCCAGTCCCAGGGCTGCTGTTCTGAAGCAGCCAGCAGCAAAACCCTGTGGACTTTTTGTGGGGACTGAACAATCCAGCCCCATGGCTGCATTGGGCAGGGGGCCACAGCACCTCCCAGCCAGGTGACTTGCACCACCCCTGAAGAGCCAGAGCAGTTCCCAGAATGAAGACTTCCTTGGGTCAGTGCCGGGGCCACCCCAGCTCTGCACAGTGCAGGGAGGAGCTGAAGCCCTTGAGTGAGCTGCACTCGGGTGTATTCATGCTGGTTTGGAAGAGTCTGATTTATTGTAACTAAGAGCTGCAGGACACAAGAGATGGTCTCTTCCCTTCGCCCCCACTATGGTGAGGCAGTGGCCTTCGGGCCTGCAGAGCCACACGGAGGAGCCCATTCTCGCGCATGCTCAGTCCCACCATCTCCCCCTGGAGGGCGGATCCTTCCTGGCCCACCAGAACCTACATCTAGTTCAGCGGGCCCCAGCCTGCGCATGGTGAAAGGGCACCAGCAGGCAGAGTCAATCTTCCCTGGTTTGCCTGGGGAGTGGCGGCACGAGACCTGCCATTGCAGGTGAGTCCAACAGGGCAGGGTGGGGGCAGTTACTGTTGGTCCATCTTGACCTGCTGCAGGGATGCAGTGAAAGCCTGGAACTCCTCAGGGTAGAAGCGCTTATACACACTGATCTTCCTCTTGATCTGCTTGGGCGTGTCCTGGTAGTAGTTCTTCTCATCACGAGCCATGTCCTGGGGGTGGGGAGAGGGGACAGAGTCAGGGAAGCTGCCTCGCTGGGGGCTTGATGGAGCAGATATCCAGGAGACCCCCACAGCCCAAGAACAAGCACCTCTGCGGCTGGCTGCATGCAGCACAGGGTTGGCACCTTGAGCCGCCTACTCAACTCCACTCACAGGCAGGTGTGGTTAGAGGCTGGGTGAGGTTTCATGCACCCTAAAGGTGACTCAGATTCAAACCAGGAAATTCAAAGAGCCACTTCCCTGACAGAGCAGCCAGACAGGAGGAGGCAGGCTCCAGGCACGGAACACCTCTGGCTGCTTCTTGGTGCCCCCCCAATGGCTAAGAAGATGCTGTAACAGGATTGCGCTGTCGCTCTCCCAGTGGCCACAAGCACTGAGGCAGAGGCTCCCAGACATGTCCTCCGACCCTCACCGGGCAAAGGCAGGGACCACCCACCTTGTAGTTCTCGCCATGGTTCCGTATCATGTACTGCACATAGTCGATAAGGTCTCTGGAGAGCGTCTCCGACTTCTTCTCCGGGAGGCTGGCCTCATACTCCAGCTCTAGGCACCGCAAGACAAAGAGATAGAACCATGCAGTGTTTCTAAGGAGCCCTGATGCTTCCAGAGATTGAACCTGGTATCTGTGGAAATGAGACTGAGCCATGCATCACTGGCAAAGGCTGGTCCCTCTCAGGGACACGTCCAGCATTAATGACCACTCCCCATTCGTGGGGGTAGACACACCAACACCTGCTCAGTGGGTTAGAGCAGAGAACACACATTGGAAGTTCCCAGACTCAAGGCCTTCTACCACATGTGACATGTGTCTGTCTCATCAGCGCAATGGCCAGCTACAGTGCTCAGATGAGAGAGCAGGCGGGAGTGGGGCTGTCATGAAGAGACAACATTCAAGATATGCCCTGGCTGGGGGTTCAGATAGAGCAATTAAATCCCGAGCCCGGGACAGAAGCTGGCAGTGCAAACTAAGGGCCTTTGACACTTTTGCCAGACCAGACACTTCGAGGGCTTAAGATGGTGATGTTCAGGGGCTAATGAATCCTGAAACCCAGCAGGGCCAATGTTCAGCTCACACATCAGTATGGGACAGAGTCTCCTTAATAGTCTGCATTACACTAGGCACAACTGTTACCTCCCAACTCACAGCCACACACTACTAAGTCTCCTGCTCGGAGGGGAGGAGCTGCTGCTGCAGGCAGCTTTCTAGGATGCTCCTGTGGGCTTGTAGTCCTGCTACAGAAACCAGCTTTCACCCACCCCCTTTTTGATATGACAACAAGCCAACGGGCTTTGCCTCTTAGTTTCCTAGTTGCAAAAAGCACCAGAGATCAGTGGATCTCTAAAAACAATCAGAGGAGCAGAGCTCTCTCTGGTGAGAAGGAACCAAGCCAGGGCACAGAGGAGCGGGGAGAGGAAGTGGAATCCATCAGACAGATCCTCACCTAGGGCACAAAGCAGAGAACATGAACCAGTGGTAGCTCAGCTCTAGGACAGGGGTTATTGGCTACATGAGCTCCCTCTGCTGGCTGCCCCCACAAGAAGAGAGTTCTAAAGCCATTTCCGACATCTGTGGCAAAGCAGCAGCACCATAAGAATAAATACCAGTCATGGCATAGTAGGGATCCGTAATACTTGGCTGAAGGGTGCATACTGCAACAACAAATACCCAAGCTTTACCCAATTGAGGGCAAGTTACCAACCCACCCAGGAGCCTAAGAGCTGCACCTCGTTCGCATGAAATGAGCACAGTGGGAACTGCAGTGCCCAGAGGCTGCAGTGGCCAGCAAAGCAAGCACTCTTAGAGCCAGAGGAGGGTGGTACCAACCGTCCAGGACGTAAGGCTTCTGCACAACTCTCTTCCCTTTGTCTTGGCCATCAACCTCCATTTCCATCACCTGCATTGAATGGGAGATGAGACCACTCAAGAAAACTCCATTCACCTGGGGCTCATGCATTCACACATGGCTTTGGAGGCTGTTCCTTCCCCATCCAGCCCTTGCACCACTGACTGGCTTAAACAGATTTCTTAGTCCATGTAACTACGACCACCTCGAAGTTCAAAAAGCCTCATTTACCATTCACTTCTTATGCTGGCTGGCCGGCCTAGAGTCACTGTCCATGTTGAGAGAAATGCCTTGTGAACATGGTTGCTTTCAGGTTCTTGATCACAAGCCCACTGTGACAATATTTGCTAAGGCCAAGTTTGGCCTGACAGCATGTGCTTTAACAAAGAGGGGGACTGTTCACTGCTTTCTGTCCCTCTGATCCAAGTGAAGTGTCTCCAGGCTAACCCCACTGCCCCTGGCTAATGAATCCCCAAGTAAAAGACTCAACAGCTCCTTGCACATGCGCGTAAGCTCTCTCTGCATTGCCACTCCTGGCCCTTCACACACACACACACACTCTCACTCGAGAAAGAATCAAGATGGCAGACCACACTGGGTCCACACCCCAGAGACCAAGGCAGGACACATTTTCTAGTACCTTGTCCAGTCTAGTTAGGGGTCTCCTATTGCGAGTGGGCATCCATCAGTGCCCTTGGAGAATTGTCACCCATCCAGGTTGGGGAGTGTTGCCAGACAACCCAGCTGATTTTTCCCTTATGTTCAATTCCACCCCTTGGGCCCCCTCTTGGTCCCTGGGGTTTAGCCTCTCGGGAGAAATATGTTGCTCATATGCTGTACTTACCGGTAGCTGCCTTTTCCGGATGGGAATCGCCTTGTTGGGGTCCGCAGCCAGCCCCATTTCAGCCAGGTTCCGAGACACGGATTTGGTTCTGTCCCACGCATGTCTGATGTGGGAGCTGGCCAGAGACAAAAGAGGGAGGAAAGTGGCCATTTCACACCCAACACCACACCAGTTGATGGCCCATCCGTGCCGCAAGAGCCCTGTTCCCACTACCTGTGTCTGGCCTCAGGAACCCCCCCACTTCCACCCCCCACAGCAGCCAGGGCAGACCCCCCCGGCGCAGGGTCTTTAATACTCCTGCAGTAGCTGTAACCCCTTTATGGGGTGGCTCGCACCCTAGTAGGGGGGCTGTCCTGAGGGGCCCAGCCTCCCCGCGACCCACTGCACAGCCTAACCAATGATGGAGCCCAGGATACTGCCCACTCTGCCCCACTGCATGGGCCCACCCCCTCCCCTCGGTCCAGATCCCCCCGCTCCCACCCCACAGCCCGCTCCCTCCTCCTCCCCTCGGCCCAGCCCCGGCCCGGCCCCGGCCCCGGCCCAGCCCGCTCCGCTCCCCTCTGGCCCCGCCCCGGCCCCCCGGCCCGCTCCCCTCCCTCTCCCCGATGCCCCCCGACCCGGCCCGCTCCCCTCCCCGGCCGCCCGGCCCGGCCCGGCCCGGCCCGCTCCCTCCTCCGCCCCTCGGCCCGGCCCGGCCCGCTCCCCTCCAGCCCCCCCGCCCGGCCCCGCCCCGCTCCCTCCTCCGCCCCCTCCCCCCCGCCCGCCCCGCTCCCCCCTCCCTCCAGCCCCCCCGCCCCCCCGCCCGCTCCGCTCCCCTCCAGCCCCCCCGCCCGCCCCGCTCCCCCCTCCGCAGCCCCCCGGCCCAGCCCGCCCCGCTCCCCTCCCCCGGCCCCGCCCCGCTCCGCTCCCTCCTCCGCCCCTGGGCCCGGCCCGCTCCGCTCCCCTCCAGCCCCCCCGCCCGGCCCGCTCCCCCTCCCCGGCCCCCGGCCCGGCCCAGCCCGGCCCGCTCCCCCCTCCGGCCCCCTCGGCCCGCTCCGCTCCCCTCCAGCCCCCCCTCCGGCCCGGCCCCCTCCGCTCACCATTCGATACGGGGCGCCGCCCGCTTGCGGCTCTGCCGGTTCAGCCGCTTGCGGTTGACGCTGTAGCCGAACTTTTGGCGCCGGTTCTTCCCTTTGGCTTTCGGCATCGCGGCGGCTGCGAGCTCACGCGGCCGCAGTCAGAGACCCCTGGGCCGCCGGGGCGGGCCGGGCGCTGGGCGCGATGGGAAATGTAGTTCTACTGTCAGGGCTTCCCTCAGACCTTCGCTAGGGCCCGGTCCGCTGTGGACTATATATCCCAGCAGGCCTTGCGCTAACACGAACGGCTGGAGCCGCAAGGCCTGCTGGGATGTGTAGTCCCACGGCAGCCATTGACTTCCGTTCTAAGTACGGTGGCTGAGGAGGGTCCCCGGCAGTCACCTTCCTGCGCTGCTCGCGGGAGTGGTGACCATGGCTCAGAGCTCCCCGCCACCCTTTGACCCCAGCAGCCCCCCCCTTATCGAGGGCTTCGTCCCCACCCCGCTGCATCGGGAGGGGTTCCGGGACAAGTTCCTGCGCAAGACTCGCGAGAACCCGCTGGTGCCTATCGGTGAGTGGGGGCCCGGGGGGGGCGGGGAGGTGGGGGTCTGGGGGCAGTGGGGAGCTGGGGCTTTGGGGGGAGGTCTGGGGGGCACCGTGGGAGTTAGTGGTCGGGGGGAGGGTGTGGCATGGGGGAGTTAGGGGCCTGGGTGCCTGTTGGGGCATATCTGAGGGGAGTGGGGAGCTAGGAGTCTGTGGGGATGGGGGAGTTAGGGGCCTGGGGGGGCAGGGATAATGTGAGAAGCAATTGGGACACGTAGGAGGAACTGGAAGGGTTTGGGGATGCTCAGGAAATGGGACATAACCCAGGGAGAGCCCTTGGGGTGTCCCCCTCCTGCCTACTAACCACGCGGGCAGGGAGAGGGAGGTGAAGCAGGGGAAATGGGGTGGGGAGGGAGGAGACATTGAGGTTTGGGGAAAGGGGTGGAGAGAGTTAGGGGTGACCCACAGGGGGGGGCCCTGAACCCTGCCCCTCAGATCTCAGCCCACCACCCCCCACTAACCTCCCAGCATTGTCCCTCTCTGCAGGCTGCCTCTCCACTGCAGGGGCTCTGACCTATGGACTCATTTGCTTCCAGAAAGGCAATACCCGCCAGTCCCAGCTGATGATGCGGGCCCGTATCCTGGCTCAGGGCTTCACCATTGCTGCCATCATGGTGGGGGTGGTGGCCACAGCAATGAAAGCTCAGAAGTAAGGTCAGGCTGGCGATGAGCTGCAGCCTCCAGGAGTGGACAGGCAACCTGTGCTTCGTGTTGTAGAAATGGACCCTTTGGCCCTGGAGAGAGTGAGTGCAGCTCTCATCTTGCTGGGGGACCAGCTCAATGGTGGTGGTGGAGCAATTATTAAAGATCCTACGGGGTTCTAGAGTTCTGGAAATGCAGCTAATACACCTGAGTGATTCAACCTAAAACCTGACCTGCGAGATTTCTTGACTCCATGGGCACTCATCCTTTCCTGGGGGACCCACAGGCAGCATCAGTCTCTAGCACCCAGCATTATTAATGGCCGTTGGATCCATTGCCTTGGTGACCCCCCTGGGGAACGGGCTGTGCTGACCCTTAGGCACGATCAAGTGATGAATCTTTCCGGGCAGGGAGTGGGACCAAAATACTGTGGATGAGAGAGAACAGTCCCCCTCTCTGGGGCTAGATCCTGTCTAGAGAGATCATGTCCCATGACCAGGGCTTGTCTGGAAAGAATGTGAGATCTATTAGGTTACCAACCATAAGCCAACTGCACCCATGCTTTGTAAAGAGAGAATTGCAGTGAGATTCTGATCAGGACATTGAATTCCAAAGCAGAGGGAAATTGTGAAGGGTCCTTATATACAATGGGGAAAAAAAACAGGTAGAGAACTGCTGCTGTAGTGATGGAGATTAGGACACAGGAAATGCAGCTCTCTGTTGGAATGTGTGAAATTGGAGAGTTTCAAAGGTGGGGTCACATCAGGTCTGTGGGTTTTTTAATATTAATGGTTGGAGTTTAACTACTGTGAAACTAATCAATCTTTGTCAAGAACTAGAAGTTCCTGCATTCTGAGTCTCCGATGCCCAAGGGGAGCAGTATTTTCTCCTGTCTTAAACTTCCCAGCAGGAGGCTCTGTCTAAAAGCTCTCCATGAATTAACTGGAATGTGTTTAGTATTAACATTGAAAGATGGGAAAAAATCTCAATGAATAAGGATCCTCCTTTAGCAGGTACTTTGGAGCTACATCAATATTATAAAGAATGTTTGCTCTTCCTAGGTCAAACATGCAGAGCTGGGGTGGGAGGATTTAATGAGAGGGAGGGAAATGGTCTGTTGACTCTAATCATATCTGCAGGGTGTAGTTCTCCTGTCCTTCCTTTTGGCAGCTGCATAGTGCAGGACTCTGAAGGAGAAAGGCAGAAAGCAGATGGTATTGACAGCACCAGACTGGTGGCTGCGGTCCTGCATTGAGTGGCTGACAAAAGGAAGAATGTAAGGAGCTACACACAGCAGACATGAAGATCTATGCAGAAGATTTGTGCCATGAGGGGGTCTCCATGCCATATTGTGTCCAGGGAATCTTTGTGACTGGGGAGGGTCCCAGCTTGCCTCTCAGATCCCAGGAGGTTTGCTGCCCTGTACTTGTAAACAGAGCCAAATGGCCTCGAGTCTTTGAGACAGTGAATGTGGAAGCCTGTAAGGGCAGCGTCTCTGAGTAGAATAAAGCTACTTGGAGGCAAGGCTGGACAGAATGAAGTCAGAGAACAAAGACTTAGTAACATACCTCTTGCTGCCTCCCACCACCCTTCCCCTGGCCAGAGCCCAGTGACTTGCATTGGCCATTTGGATGGACAGGGTATTTTGTTTCAGCCAAGGGTGCTGTGGCTTTGAATCTTGGCACAGGAGGAAGGGATTGCAGGGTTAGTCTGGCAAGCACCTTGTTCATTTGCAATCTGGCAGGGCTCAGAGTGGTGGGGTTGGCTCATCTCACCCAGCCAGGATCTGCTTCACAAGGGGCAGTTTGGATTTAAGGTAATGGGACGTTTCATGATAGCTGACACCCCAGTGTCAGGCATGCTGACGTCCTTGTCTCTGCTGGGAATAAATACAGCCAGGTCCTGTGAACCTCCGCTTTGGAAGTAGCATGTTCTGCCCTGGTCCTGGGAGGTGGCCTGCAGGAGGCCGGTGCATTGTATCTGATCGTGTTGACAGGTGAAACTGTTTCTCTTCAGTTGGGTGGAGGCTGCTGCTTAATAAACCTTCCTTTGGATGAACCTTCCTTTCCATGTCTTGGCTCCATCACTGAGGCTACCTCCAAAGAGGATTCTGCGTTGGACAACTGGAGTTGACTTGTTTCAGGCCAGGGGGTAGCTGCTTCTACCATCTAATCCAGAAAGGCTCGGAGCACCCCTCCCCTGGAGCCTGAGGGTCTGCACAATGAAAGCTACCCCAGAGGCTGAAGTCTGAATGGAGCGAGACTGGCAATGTCTGCTCAGGAGAAACCCCAGCTGTGTGGGGGAAGCTCAACTCCAAACAAGATCATGATTAGCTCTCTGCTTCCTCGAGGCTCAGAATTCATCAATAACCCTGACCTGCCAGCCCTGAGCTGAGCCCACAGCAACTGCTGGTAGTAAAGCTGCAGCGCTAACTCAGCCTTCCTGCCCTGACCAGGTCACTCCTGCTTTTCTTTAGGGTGGCTCTGCCCTAAGGTCTCCTTTTAGCCCTACCCCAGTCTGCAGTGCCCAGTTTGTGGGCTCAGCACAGCAGCTGCGGTGGATTCCCCCATGCCCGCTCAGAGAAGCATCAGCCTAGAAAGAAAGCAAGCGAGAAACTGCTCCTTGGGCGGGGTGGAGTCATGTCAGTTTATTTGTACAAGGTCACATATACCAAAGCAGGGGGGACATACAACAGGCATAGTGCTCCCCAGAGCTGTCACCGGGCAGGAGGAGGAACAGGAGCCGGGCCCTTGTCTGTAAAGCAGCAGTACCAGCTATCACCCCGGGGTCCTGCTCCCCACTGGGAATGAGGGGGGGATGCCCAAGCCATGCTTCCTGCCCCCTATTCATGCAGGAGCTAGGCCCAGTTCCAGGCTGCTGCTCTGCCACGATCAGAGTCCTGGAGCAGGAAATCCCAGCCTGGCGTCTCGGAGCACCTGCCAAGAGCTGCAGCCCTAAACTGGGCCTAATCCACCTGAGCAGCAGGGCTAACGCCCAGCAGAACTAAGCTGGAGCAGAGTCAGACAGGGCCCTATGACAGCCATGTCCAATTAGCTCATGGGCAGGGCTAGGTCTGCAGAGGAGAGAGGTTCCCCGGTGCCTCACCCCATTGGCTGGAGGGGGCTCCTGGCTTTATGGACTTCGCCCTGAGCTCCCTGCCAGTGTCTCCTCCCAGCCTGCTCTCCCCACCCAGCACCAGGCAGCATGCCCTGTGTGAGGTCCCCGTAAACCATGCTGCATTACACCTGACCCAGTCCCTGCCCGAGGCGCATGCGGCCAGGACAGAGAGCGCAAGAACATGGCAGGAGACAGAGCCCAAGGGCAAAGGGGGTCCAGCGTGCCTGTCTGCTCCTGAGTGCAGAGATGGTTTCTAGCCTCCAGGCTCCCTGTGCTGGGAGCTAGATGGGGCTGCCCTGGCCCCACCAAGACCCTATTGAGAGATAAGGTGCTTGGGGAGGAAGCTGAGCCCCCTCCTCAAAGGGCATCGCTCAGGGGAGGACAGTGGAGTCCCTTTAGCTGGCAGGCCAGGGGTGGGACAGAAGAAACAGCAGCGAGAGAACGTGAAGCCACTAGGCCAGGCTGCCTCAGCCGGTACCTGTCCCCACCCCAGGCACTCCCCTTACTTTTTGAGGGCTCATCGGTTGCTCAGAGGCAGGGCAGAGTCCAAACACCAGAGCTAGAGTTTTTCCTCTGGAATATCAAGTCCACGCGCGGGCCGGTGGGCGTTTTCTCTCCCTGGCCAAGCGCAAACAGGGATCTCAGCCCGTGTCCCCTGCAGCAGGGCAGGGGCAGCTCTGCTTGAGCTCAGCACTCCCCTCCCAGCCACCTTCACTTAGGAGCAGAGGAAGTGCCGGAGCAGCTCAGCCCAGGGGCTCATCGAGCCTGGTATTCGGTCTCCATGAGAGGTGCTCCAGAGGGAGGAACAAGAAGTTCCCTAATGAGCAGTGGTGGAATAAGTTCCCCTAGGGGAGGTTTCTCCTGAGTCCGAACTTGACTTGTCAAACCCATTGATGTGTCCTTAGCCAGCCACATACCCAATCCTGGGAGCTCAGCCTCAGCACTATCCTGTGGCAGAGAGTTCCCCAGGGCAGGGTTAGCCACTGCCATTGCCTCTCCGGTACTGCTATGCCAGAGACTCACGCTAACACTGGAGGAGGAGCTGGGGGTTGCTACCTCCCAGACCCAGACGCTCCTGCATGCTCCCAGCTCTGCTCCGCCTGGAGCGCCCATGACTGGGATTCTCCTTTTTCCCTGGCAGCTTGTGTGCAACTAGCCGCTGCCTCTGGCTGATGTCACACCTGTGCAGCCAGGAACCGGCCCTGCCCCTCCCAGTGTCACAGCCATCCCCTGTTACAGGTGGACACAGGAGAGCCAGGGTCCCACGAGGAACTGGGAGTAGAACCCAGGCGTCCTGGCTCCCAGCCCCATGCTAGGATACTAGACAATGTTGCCTCTCATCCCGCTGTCACCCAGTGCTGTGGCCCAGCATCTCAGGCAGGAGGCGGCAGGGTTTGCTCCCACCGAACTGGCTCAGCTCTCTGTCCCGGGGGAAGAAGCTGGATGGGTTTGAGGCAGAGAAGGGAGAGTCGGTGTGAGGGACAGCAAGGAGACCCCGGGATCTCTCACAGTGTCAGAGGCCTGTGCCTGGCCTGCCGGCGTCGAGCTCTCCTCCCCAGAAGCAGTGAGGGAGGGAGCCCAGCCCTGCTGCCCAGGGAACCACCATGGTAATAAATAAGTGTAAAAAGAGACCAATGCACCCTTTAAGCAAAGGAAAATCAGGGGGACAGTTACAACCAGCGACCCAACCAAATTAGCCACACGCACCGGGAAGCAAAGGGGGCGGGGGAGTGGGGGTGGGGGCAGCAGCACCCCTTGCTGGCATCCAACTGAACCTGATGTGCTGGTCCAGGCGAGCCCGCTGGCGGAAGAGTGGCCCATGTCCGCCCCTGTCCCCCCCACTCTTTGGTCGTGCTGGGCGGGCGGCTAGCGGGACAGGGGTGTCTGTTTGAGGGAGATGAGCACCGAGCGCATCCTTGACACATCCTTCCATTGCTTGCTGCTCTTGGGGTTGAAGTCACACAGCTGGGCCACCTTCTCCCACTCTGTGCCGGGGTTTTCTTCCTTGGACTCCTTCAGGAAGGCTTCCTCCGAGGCCCTGGGGGAGACAGGTGGGAGAGATGTGGGGGTCAGTCTCTGAAGGAGAGGGGGCTGCTGGATCTCCCCTCCTGAGACCAGGGAGGTTCCTGTTTCCCAGTGGGTAGGACCCAGGGGCTGCTAGGCACCACACCTGCACTCCCACCTGGTTCACCCCCATCTCCTCTCCCACGATCAGGCAACACCCCCTCCTTCTGGGACACAGAGTCCTGGCTGGGCCATTCCAGAGCAAGCGCTTGGGGCTGCAGAACTAGGAGAGACAGAGAACAGGAGATCCGGGGGCCCCAGCCAGCTGCTCCCAAGAGAAACTAGCCACCCGCCCCTTTGCTTTGGGGATATGGGGGATGTTGGTAGCCCAGTGTCACAAACAACAGCATCAGGAATGGCCTGGCCATTGTTATCCTACTGTCCTAGAGCCGCTGGGCTCAGCACAGCCAGCCTGCCTGTCTGAGCCTGCGGCCAGCCCAGCCCCAGTAAGAGGGAATGTCTGCTCTCTGGGCTGGGGAAACACCCCCCACTCCCCCAGCCTGCAAACTATCCTCCCCCTCCAGCTGCTGGGCTCATGCTCCCAGATCTCCAGGCCTGAGACAGCTGGTTCCTGGACCCTGGCTCCCAGCAGTGAGCGAGGCTCTTACACATCCAGACAGAGCCGTCTGCCTCATGTGAAGGGTGCCCCAGGTGCTGACCCTTGCTGCGCTCAGACTCCTTGGGCCCTGTGCTCACCTGGGACGTTGCCCAGCCAGCCCTGGGGAGGCAGGTGCAGCAATCTCCTCCCAGGGGCGTGAGCCTGGGGGGCAAATTCTTGATGGGTCATCTCCCCTCTTTCTATCTGCCTTAACAAGCATGATCCAGAGCCCCACTCATCTCTTGTGAATCTGCCAGTAGGACGTGCTCAGCTGGGTGCCGCCATCCTTGAGGCCAAGGGCCCCTGGGAACCCCTATTTGGGCAGCGAGTGTCTCTGGGGTTTGAAATCCCCACGCCCGCCTGGCTCCCCCAGGGCCCTCTAGGGAAAGGACACAGAGACAGCAAGAGGCACATACACATAGCCGATCACGTCGGCGTCCGGCTGCTGGTAAAATGCTTTGTCAGCAATCCTAGCGCGTGAGCAGGAGACAGAGCAGCCAGGCAGGCAAAGGGTTAGAGAGAGAGAGAGAGAGACGGGGTTAGTGTCCTTCCCCAGCGCGACGGGCAGGGAACCTGTTCCGATTCGCGAGTGACCCCGGAGCTGAGCAGACACCCGGCAGCAGTGCAGGTACGCAGAAACCCCTCGGCGCGAGGCAGGCGGGAAATCGGACTGACTCAGTGCTGAGATGCCACAGCATCAGCACCACGGAAACCAGCATCTGGCAGCATCTGGACAGGATGAGACCTTCTGGAGCGAGGCAGACAGAACACCTCTCAGAGGAGTAGGGGTCTGACCCTATTTCCTGACAAAGATCCCCACCACCCCTCTGCTGAGCTCCAGCCCACGGGTGGCTGCATTTCACGGCACCAGGAGACTGTGAGCTATTATTGACAGTGACTGTTGCTGGCATGGGGCACTGTGGATCTGGCTTTAGGGGGACTCTGGGTGGACCAACCCCCAGCACCTCCTCTGGCTGCACACAGCTCAGCTGAGCGACAGGCTCCCTGCATCACCGGCCGGCCCCGCCACGCCATCCCCCGCAATACCTGTTGTTAACTCGGTTCTTCTCCATCTGCTCGTTCTGACGCACGTTCCACTCCTCCAGGTCCTTCTTGGCCTTTTCGCGCCATTCCTGCTCCGTCACCTTCGAAGCAGCATCTAGAGCACAGCAGGACAGATGGTCAGCAGGCAGCCAGACACACAGCAGGCTCTGCTGCAGGGGGAGCCCCACCCAGTCTGGGTCAGCTCACTCCCTTGGTAGGAGAACAGAGGCAGACAGGGCTGTATAGGCAGCAGGGTCCTGTCAGAGACTCTGTCCTGAGGGAATCCCCACACCCCAATGGGGCAGATGCTCCTGTCACAAGACCACCCTGCTCCTCCAGCACAAGGTGGCAGGAGCTTCCCATCCTCCCAGCTAAATCGCATGCCCGCGGGGCTCTGCAGCCCCCAAGAACTAGGGCCCTTCCAGCCATGGCCACTGACCTGGCTTTCAGCGCCTGCGTGTGGCCCACTCTCTCCGTGCCCTCCCGCTGCAGAAGCCGAGTGGAGCGCGCAAGAGGAGGCTTCAGTGAGAGAGGTGTGCAGGCAGCGTAGGAGCTGCGGCACCTACCCACACTTCCTGCTGGGGAAGCCTGAGCCTGCAGGGAGCCTGGCCTTTGGGTCGGCGCCCCAGCCAGGGTCAGGGAACGAGCCAGGGGCATTTGCTGGCGGGGAGGGGTAGACTGTTTCCCGGGATGCCTGGGAGCGTGGCAGTGGGTGTATGATCAATGCAGCAGGTAGACGAGGGCTGAAAGTGCCAGGAGCCCAGGCTCTCCGCAGCTGCTAGGGACAGAGGCAGGCAGGGTCTCTGTGCTGTGTGGAGGAGCCTCCCGCCCTGCCCACCCCACTCACCCAGCTCCTGCAACCGTTTCTTTTGCTCCTCCCGCCATTTGCGGATGCTCTCGGGCTCCTGGGTCAGCCTGTCAGCCCGGGCGATGGCTGCGTAGCCGTCCGTGGGGCCGTTGGATTCCTGCGGGACATAAGCACTCCCCCATGAAAAGCAGCCCTCTCCAGCACTCCCTGCCTGCCCTCAGGCCCTCCGCAAGCAGGGCGCAGCAAGGGCATGTGGTGGGGAGGAACCTCAGCGGGTGAACCCCTGCAGAGGGGGTGAAGTGTGATGCCCCCCTCTGGACTGATAGTGATCAAACCTCCTCCCCACCAGTGCACACTGAGGGGCCCAGGAGGAAGAACTGAGGGGCTCAGTCTGTTCCCATATCCACAGCAAGGAGCCCACCCCCACGGCTGACCCCAAGCACCCCCTCAGCACAGAGCCAGGGGCCACTGAGGCCAGACGCCCTCCTCTCCAACAAGCCAGCTTGCCTGCACTAAGCTAGGCACCTAGCTGCCAGCCTGGCACCTTCTAACAGCATCAAACCTGTCCCACTGCCCAGCTCCTCAGGGCCCAGCATCTCCCACCCGCCTCCTGCCAAGTAGCCACTCACCGGCGCAACCCGATAGAACTTGCCATTCGCTGCCAACACGACTTTCATGTCTGTCCCCGTCACGCCCCCATCAGCTGCTGCTGCTCTGGGGAGGGGCTACGGGCTGCACCTTTGTGACATCATCCTAACAACTGACATCACGGGGCAGACGCAGCCCCCTGGCTAATGCGCCTGTGATGTCACAGTCATTCTGATAGGGCACCGTCCTGCTACTGATCCCTCCACCCCGATCCCTCCACTGCTTGGAGCCGGACGCCTCCCTACTTCTGGGTCCTAGTGTCATATTGCTGGCATCACCCCTGGTGTCCCGCCCTCACCGCCGAGTCCCCGGAGGGAGGGGCTGGGCACAGTCACCGATAACGAGGGGTGTTATAGCTCTGGCCAGGGGAGTTGGGAAGAGCTGGTGCCGAAGGCTCAGTCCCACAGGGCCCGCAAGGTGGTGCTGTTCTGCCTCTAGGTAGCATCAACCCCACCTTCCCTTCTCAGCGACTGCACAGAGATCAGGGGCAGATCCCTCTGCCAGCCCCACACACTGCAGGGCCCAGCGAGGGCCGTTCCTATAGAGGTCACGGGCAGATCCCTCTGCCAGCCCCACACACTGCAGGGCCCAGCGAGGGCCGTTCCTATAGAGGTCACGGGCAGATCCCTCTGCCAGCCCCACACACCTGCAGGGCCCAGCGAGGGCCGTTCCTATAGAGGTCACGGGCAGATCCCTCTGCCAGCCCCACACACCTGCAGGGCCCAGCGAGGGCCGTTCCTATAGAGGTCACGGGCAGATCCCTCTGCCAGCCCCACACCCTGCAGGGCCCAGCGAGGGCCGTTCCTATAGAGGTCACGGGCAGATCCCTCTGCCAGCCCCACACACCTGCAGGGCCCAGCGAGGGCCGTTCCTATAGAGGTCACGGGCAGATCCCTCTGCCAGCCCCACACACCTGCAGGGCCCAGCGAGGGCCGTTCCTATAGAGGTCACGGGCAGATCCCTCTGCCAGCCCCACACACTGCAGGGCCCAGCGAGGGCCGTTCCTATAGAGGTCACGGGCAGATCCCTCTGCCAGCCCCACACACCTGCAGGGCCCAGCGAGGGCCGTTCCTATAGAGGTCACGGGCAGATCCCTCTGCCAGCCCCACACACTGCAGGGCCCAGCGAGGGCCGTTCCTATAGAGGTCACGGGCAGATCCCTCTGCCAGCCCCACACACCTGCAGGGCCCAGCGAGGGCCGTTCCTATAGAGGTCACGGGCAGATCCCTCTGCCAGCCCCACACACCTGCAGGGCCCAGCGAGGGCCGTTCCCCATCGCTGCTGGGTCAAAGGGGCTACACTTGGAAGGCAGCTACAGCTGGAAGGGAGGCTGTAGCTCCCTGTCCTGGAGCAGAGATGATTCTTTGGGCCCTGGAGTCTGCAGCTCATCCCTGAGCCCATCCTGGTGTGAAGAGGGGCCACTCGGACATCTGAGCAGAGCTCCGATTCAAAGCTCTCCCCTGTGAGGGCCAAGCACCGAAATCACTGGGCGATGCAGGTACTTAGCCCTGCTCAGGAGCAGGCCATGACATAGCACAGCCGGTGGAAGGTGCTCTCTGCCCCAACCCCTCCATGCCCCCAGCCCCTCCTTCCACTGAGCAGGGCTATTAGGGTGCAGCTCTCCTCTGAAATGCCCTGATCTAATTAAGTCCCTCCCTGTCTGATGGGATCATCCTCCCATGAATCAAGCCCAGCCAACCCACGCATCCCACTGGCTAGCTACGTGGAGGGGTGAAATATTCCTCCCTGCCAGGAGCCACTACTCTCCCTCCACCCCACACAGCCAGGTCTGGGGAGAGGGCTGAGCACTCTGCCCGCGGAGACAGTGACTGAGACCTGGAGAGGGGGTCCTGGGAGGCATGTCCCTAGCAGATGCAAAGGGAGATGCTGCACATGCCCATGCCCCTGGGTGGGGATTGGCATTGTGACCGGAGGCCCCATGAGTCCAACACCAGTGGAACGTACTGTAGCGACAGGACCCCAGAGAGTGGCTGGGGCCCCTAAATCTCTGCGTCCGGGTCTCCTCTCGCTGGGATCTGTGGGGCTTGCCCTGACTTGTGCCAGCTGAAGTACGAGGAAAACCAGGCTGATAAACCAGCTGGGCTGCTCCAACTTGGAAAGGAGGTGTCACACGTCCCTCCCGGGTGCCATCATTTTCTACGAGCAGGAGCAAGAGGCTGGACCCCACTGCTGTCCCACTACCCTCCTCATCGCCTCTCGGCTCCAGCCTTTGCTGAGAGAGGCCATCCAGCTGCCCCGGGACAGCCGCAGCCCATTTAACGAAGAGACTGGGTGGGCTGGAGAAACACAAGGCCTTTGGGGAGGGTCTCTCTGGGTTTTCTGTCTCCCAATTCAGCTCCAACAGGCTGCCCCCAGCTTTAGACCCTTTGGTTGCTGCAGCTCCCCAGCTGGGGGACATCCCTCACTTGAGCACAGATCCAACAGGGGGAATAGGTGGGACTTTAATCCAGTCAGGAACCCACAGGACCCTGCTGCTCAGTCCAGTTCCGTCACCTCTAATGCCCTGGCACAGACAGACGGGCTGGCATGTCAAGGAAACAGGGCAGAGATGGAGCACCGGGCTCCCCCTTGCTCAGATACAGATGTGGGATGTTTCCATGAGCAGCACAGCAGCACCCGGGTGCAGAGGCAGGATGCCAGGGTCCAAGCAAACCCACTGGCTGACCGTCCCTAAGTGCAGGGCAGGGCGAAGGATCTGGCTCTCACCTGAAAGACATCTCCATTCACAGTGGCCCCCACGTCCTCAAAGTCAGCTGCATGGGAGGCAAGAGAGAAACATGTTACCCGGCTGTTAGCAGCACACGAGGGACCCACGATTGCTGCTTTCAGCTTGGCACAGAGAGCTGTGTGTGTTGGGGTGAGAGGGGAGTGAAGAGCTCATGGCTGGAAGAGCAGGGGGTCATGATTGAATGGCACTGGGAGAGCTATGGGGGGGGAGCCCAGGGCCAGGATAGACGGGGGGCTGTGGGTCAGAAGTGAAGGGCATTGGCAGAACTGTGTGGGTGGAGCACACAGGGCTAGGACAGCGGGGGGCTGTGGGTCAGAGCTGTGCAAAGGGAAGCTTGTGCAGCACCATCTCCCTGGCTCTAGTCCATGTTGGGGTCCCTCACTTTGCTGACAGTAATTCCCCTGGCTTCACTTCAGCTCATGCAAAAGGCAGCAGCCCCCTGCTCCCAGCACTGTGATCACATAATGCCCACCCGCCCTGCATCCTCCGGGCTGCCTAGGGAGAGGTGGCAGGATTTTAAGCTGCCACGTTGGGATTTAAAGACCTTGTAGCTGAGGGACCCGGCTCCAGCAGAGACATCCCTGAACCTCCTGCTGGTGGGAATCTGGAATCTCCAACCCCCTCGTTTGGGGGGCTCAGTGTTAGCCCCAGGGTGTGAGACTCCCCCTCTGTGGAGCATCCCCCTCCGCCTCTCCCCCCAGACATGTGTTCGAGGGGGTTCGGCTCAGGTCCTTAGGACACTTTTCCTGGTGCTTTATCTTATCCAGTGATCAGAGCAATTGCAGGGTTCTGCTCCCAAGCCGGGAGGCTGGCCAGGTTGAAGCGCACTGATTGTTATTAAGACTATTATTAGTAACAACAAATATGCCCCCATCTTTCAAACATTCCAACCAAAGGCAAGGCCCCTCAGCTGCGAGGTCACACATGGGCACATGTGATTGGTCATTCAGAGGGGCAATCAGCTGAATCCCTCCAACCAGCTGCTGGGAATCCCAAACAGAGGCTGGACCATTTTGACTCCACTTTGTGGGTGCCGTGCCATCCCCAGGCAGGCAGGACAGAGCTTCCAAGAGAGGGGTCCCGGAGCCTTTGGCGGGGCCACCAGGGAGTCGGGACCACCAGGGAGTCAGCTGCTGAGGCTCCCAATGCCACATCTGGGGAAATGCTCCAACGGGGCAGAGCTGGGAGGAGCTCAGTTGGACCCCCATGTCCTGGATTCACACGGCCAATGCAGTAAGGCAAGGACCAGACCAGCCTTGGAGCTCACAGCTTCAGAGCTGGGAGGAGGGACATTGCTTACGGGCTGGGAACTGGAAGTTCTGGGTTCTACTCGCAGCACAAGCATTGACGCCCTGTGACTGGGCAGGCCCCCTCCCTCTGTGGCTCAGTCTCTCCCTCTATAAAATGGGCAGAATTATCCACCCCCGCCCTCGCCCCTTCAGAGATCGATCCCTGAGATGAGCGTGTTGGGCATGTTGGCCAGGCTTCCGGCTGTTAGGTTGTGGAATAAATATTACAGTAAAGAACTAAAGTTCGCTTTGGTTAAGAAAACATACACATTGTGAAGCAAGGCCCTGACTAGTTAGTAGAAAGAAGGCCTTGAAAATCACGAGTTATGAGGCCAGAAGGAATGGAGGAGGAAGGATGTCTAGTTCAAAAAGTAATTAATGAGGTAAGGGACAGTTTCTACAAAGAAGGCCTCTGATCGGTAGGGGTGACTGCAGATGGTTTCAGATAAGACAACAAGAATCTGTCTTAAAAGGAGCCAACATGGACCTGCTCACCCCACATACCCGTGCTATCTTAAAAATAAAGGCTAGGTGAGTCCAGGTGGCATGCAAAAGCTGTTGGACAGCAGGTCGGAGGGGACGAGAGGAGGAGGAAAGACCCGGGGAGAAAGGAGGTTGTACATCCCATCTGGATTCAGTTTGAAAATTAGGGTGAAGTGTGAAGTATTTGTTGGCTCAAGTGGCAATGGCAGCACTGGTATAAAAAGAGTGATGAGTTTGAGGGTTCTTTGTCAGACCCTCACTCATTACGCTGGAGCACACCAGGATAAGGCTGCTTTCCCGAGGTCTGGCCCATCCATAAGTACACTGATGACGTGCTTCTGATCACATTGTGCTGTCTCGGCTACAATGACTGCTTATTTTTAGGCAGTCAGGCATGTTCTGAGCAACTTGTGTCTGGTAGTCTCCCATATTAATTATTTCTAATATTACTAATAATTCCAACAGAGGTGAAGGCTATTTGGGGCACAGGGGAGCCAGACTCCAGCCACTTTGAAGGCCTTAGAGGGGTAGTGGAGCACCGAGAAGAGGCCCCTGCCTCCACCTAGAGTGAGCTCTGGGTTCTCCCCAACGACATGCAGGCAGGCAGGGGCCTGCAGCTCAGTTGGACCCCCATGTCCTGGATTCACACAGCCAATGCAGTCAGGCAAGGACCAGACCAGCCTTGGAGCTCACAGCTTCAGCCCAGCTGAGCTAATGGCCTTAGGGGAGGCTACCCCAGGGAGAGACAGCATGACACAGGGGCCTGAGGAAGCAGACTTCAACCTTCCACCCTGCCAGCTGCTCCAGCCCCAGCAGGGCCTTAGATCCCTCTCTGTTGCTGTTTCCCACCCCTGCACAGCCGCACCCTCCCTTCTCCTCCACCCCCTCACACTCTTGCACACACACACACTAAGTAGGTGGCTACACCCAATCCCGTGGCTTGCTGGGTCTTGTCTGGCAGCATTTCCAGCTGCTACTCCCAATGCCTCCCTGGGCCCTGAATCTGGCTCTGCTGTGAACTCCATGGACCTGTCCCTACACTGGGCTAGAGGAGAGCCAGGCCTGCGACCTTCCCAGCCCTGATGTGCTCATGTCGCATGTGACAAGCCGACCGCCCCCTTCACAAGCCCACCCCGCAGCCAGCATGAGGGACCCCTTATTGCCTGAATGAGCCACAGAGACTTAGCCTCCTCTCCTTTGTAGGGGGATCATGGCAGGGCAGAGCTGGGGCAGCTTGCCTTTGGCCTGACATCAGCCCAGCCCTATGGGGCAGGAGTTCCCGGGGCACGTCACACTGAGAAGTGGCCGCTGTGTCCTGATCTTTAGTAAGCAGCACTGGGAGAGGAAAGCCCAAAGCGAGCAGCACCAGCCCTTCCCAGGGATCCCTGAGCCAGGGGCAGCCATGCTGACCATTGAACTCCAGGGTAACAACATCTGTGCTCAGCCCCTGCTAGACGTATAGAAGGGACCTGGGAACCCTACTCCTCGGGCAGGCGGTGAGCCCATTCCACCCACTGCAGAGCGGGGAACGGAACCACTGGGGCCACCCGCCGTGCCCAGCCCCACGGGGGGAGGGAGCATTCCCCACCCCCGCTGGGGGCCACCCCGTGCCCAGCCCCACGGGGGGAGGGAGCATTCCCCACCCCCGCTGGGGCCACCCGCCGTGCCCAGCCCCACGGGGGGAGGGAGCATTCCCCACCCCCACTGGGGCCACCCGCCGTGCCCAGCCCCACGGGGGGAGGGAGCATTCCCCACCCCCCACTGGGGCCACCCGCCGTGCCCAGCCCCACGGGGGGAGGGAGCATTCCCCACCCAGCCCCATGGGGGGAGGGCGCATTCCCCACCCCCAGCGGGGGGCCCAGGCCGGACCCAGCCCGCCCCCTCCCCGCACTCACCCCCCACGTCCGGGGCCTGCCCCGGGCCCCCGTCGGCCGCCCCGAAGCCCTCGTCGTTCTCGATGCCGGCGATCTCGCTCTCCTGCTGGGCCAGGAAGGCGGCGGCGGGGTCCTCCTCCGGGGCGCCGCTCTCCGACGACGAGAAGAAGCCGAAGTCGTCGGCCATGGTGGCCCCGCCGCGCAGCGCACGGAGCCGGGGACGGACGGGGCGGTCACTGCGGGCGGAGCCTGGCGGCGGGCGGGGCGCCCCGGGGGGGGCGCGGGGCCCGGGCGGCGGCGGGCGGGGCGCCCCGGGGGGGGCGCGGGGCCCGGGCGGCTCCGGGGTGGAGCAGAGGGGAGCGGGGGGCCGGGCTCGCCCCCTAAGGCGGGACCCTTCGCGGCGCGGGGCCGCGGCGAGCCCAGGCGGGCGCGAAGGGGGTGCCGCCGGGCTCCGAGCCCCGAGCCCGGGGGTCCCCGGCTACCTGCCGCTGCCCCCCGCGGCCTTCCCGCGGGTGCCCCAGCTCCCCAGGGCGAGCAGCCTCGCACACCCCTGCCTGCCCCCCCGGCGGAGCGGGGCGGGGCGGGGCGGGGCGCTGCTCCCTGAACCCGCACCCGGGGCGGAGGGGGGAGGAAGAGGCACCCATCCAGCGGTGGCACTTAGCAGCCCCCCCGCCAAGCGCCCCCAGGCCCTGGGCTTTCCTTGAGCCCTGGGCTTGTCCCCGTGTAAGCTCCTTGGGGCAGGGCCCTTCTCTGCAAAGCCCTGGACACAGCCGGGGCGCTGTACACATGATGAACAAGCCGGTATTCCTGCAGGGAGCCCCGTGGCTGGGCACATTTGGAAATAGAATAAGGGGCCCAGCAGAGCATGTGCAGCAAGAAACGGACCTGCACAGGGGTCAGTTTGTTCCCTTATTCTAAATTTGGCCCAGCACCTTTTAAATTTCTTGGGACGGTATTGACCCATCTCAGGATTTCTATGGGAAGTGCTCACCTTGAGCCACAGCTGGTCAGTGCAGAGACAAGCGGGCCCCATGAGGCATTATAGTTACCAAACATGGAAACCCTGCCCTTCTCCCCCTTTGGGTACCCAGAAAGTGTGTGTGCGTGTGTGTATGATACCCCCGTCCACATCAGCCCTGCCAGTCCAGAATGGCTCTGGGATGTTTCTGGAGTGTGCAGCCAGGGTTGTTCTTGGGAGTCTGCCCATAATCTCAGTTTCTCCCAAGCCCCCTGCTTTGAAAATTCCTCACATTTGCTAACCCTGAGGCTGCGAAGAGTCCAGCCGAGGACACCAGTTTGCAGAGCTGTAAGGGAGTGTAGTGGAGGGGACAATTGCCCACCATCTGGTGCCTTTTGTTACTGGTGTGAAGGGGGGGTGATATGTGTATGTACAGGGTGGTGGAAGGGGGGGGGTCTGTGCCATTAGGGGTGGCGGGAGATGGTGTGGGGACGTGAATTCAGCAGAGGGCAAGAACGAAGTTCACTCCAATGGCCAGAAGTGTAGAAATAAGACTGTCGCAGGTGACAAGTGACTGTCCCAGCAGACGTGGGGGGCAGGAAGGTTAAACCTCCTGTTTCAGGATTAAACCAGCCACTATTTGAAACCAGGAGGAGACCTGGGCGGGGAGCAGCGGGGACAGCTTATCGCCACTTGGCCCCTGCAGGGTTCTGACATCTCCCTCTGCAGCCCCTGGTGCTGAGCACAGTCAGAACTGGGGCCTGGGGCCTGACCTATGTCTCAGGAGGTGGGAGGAGGGCTGCCCAGGCCCAGGAGAATGCAGCCCAGGGTGCAGAGAGCTGGCCCATCCGTGGCCCCAGCAGCCCAGCCCGTTGTGCCCGCATGGGGCTGAGGCTGAAGGCCCGGGGCCAGGCTGTGGCCGGAGGCCAGATTCGAACCCGGCGGTCCCCGCCGCGACCATGGCCTTCGGGCATCTCCGGACAGCTTCGTGCCAAGTTCGGGAACGGCCGCTGGTTGGTCACGTGGCACCTGTGCCAGGGTTCGGGTATTTCCGGACAATCCCGAGTGAGGTTCGGGCATCTCCGGATGGCGCTCGGCCGTTTCCGGCTGGGCCAGGGAAGCGGCCGTTGGCAAGGGGTCCGGCTCTCCCCGGAGCAGCTGCCCGCCGCGCCAGGGCGGAAGTGCGGCGGCGTGGTACGTCAGTTCCGGAGAGTGACGCAGCGGCGGGTCAGAGGCGGCGGCAAAATGGCGGCGCCTGAGGAGCGGGAGCTGACGGCGGAGCAGACCGAGCGGCTGCTGCAGTTCCAGGTGCCGGCCCGGGGGGAGCCGGGCCCGGGGCCCCGCAGCGGCCCGGCGCGGGAGCGGTGTGAGGGGGCCGGGCCAAGCCGGCCTCGACTTCCCCGGCGGGGCCTCGGGGGCCGCCGAGCCCTGTCCGGCCGGGGGCCCCGGGCGCTCGCGGAGCCGGGCCCCGCCCCAGAGAGCCCGCGCGCGGCCGGGAGCTCCGCCTGCGCCGGCCGCGGGGCTGAGCAGGACCCGGGGCGGGGACCGTGCGGCCCCGGGGCCCCTGCCGCTGCGCGGCCCTCGGGACGGGGCCGTCGGCTGCGCCCACGCCGAGCCCCGCAGCGAGCAGGTGCATTGCTCGCCCCATCCCCGCCCCCCGGTGCTCTGGCCGGTTCGCCCCGCGGCGAGCAGCGTGTTCTGCAGGGTGCCGTGGACCCTCCTGGTGGCTTACAAGCGCTGGGGGCTCTGATTAGTGTTCGTGCACGCGGGACGTGAGTTGTGAATGAGTCAGTGCACCTGCCCGCGGGGCAATCTTCACCGACTGCCCCAGCCTCTTGAATTACACGCCCTGGGAAATTCCTTGCGTGCTTGCCAGTGCTGAGTGGGAAGCTTTCAGTGCGGGGGGGGGACAAAGCAGGCAGTTTCTCATTCTCTTTGTCAAATAAGTTTCCAACCTCCTAGTTTTGAAGGTCCGTAGATTTTTAAGGCTAGAAGGGACCCCTGTGATAATTTTCAGAGTAGCAGCCGTGTTAGTCTGTATTCGCAAAAAGAACAGGAGGACTTGTGGCACCTTAGAGACTAACCAATTTATTTGAGCATGAGCTTTCGTGAGCTACAGCCCACTTCATCGGATGCATCCATGATACATTCATGCATCCGATGAAGTGCGCTGTAGCTCACGAAAGTTTATGCTTCAGATAAATTGGTTAGTCTCTAAGGTGCCACTAATACTCCTTTTCTCCTTGTGATAATGTCATCTGACCTGGATAACTTAGGCCATAGAACTTCAGCCAGTAATCAACCACAAATTTTGTTTGTGGATGTTGAGTACAACTATTTAGATGTTAGCTGTGGTTTTTCCACATACCTCATAACATTTGCGTGGCTAAAAAGCATATATTGGAGATGTGACCCCATGAGTGCTTTGCAAAGCAAGCATGGCCCAGATGTAGGTGAACATGATGGGGGAAGTGGTGGTCAGGAAACCACGTTGGCAAACATGCATCTGATGAAGTGAGCGGTAGCTCACGAAAGCTTATGCTCAAATAAATTAGTTAGTCTCTAAGGTGCCACAAGTTCTCCTTTTCTTTTTGAGGAAAGAGACAGTCACACAGCAGAGGCAGGAGACTATCTTGGAAAGAATTGAGCCTATCCCTGTGTAGCTTGCAAGGTCCACATGGACTCTTGTCATTGATCCGTTCTTAAATGTTTATAAAAACCTAAGGAAGTTCTTAATTAAAAAAAAATTAACCTGAAGTTAAGGTTAAAAGGATCTATTATACAAGGACTGTTTGTTACTTTAAATAAGACTGCGGTCTGCATAACAGCTGTATAAATTAAAAAGGTAATTAAAGTCTTTAAGGTCAGTGATGAAATGAAACCAGGTGATGGAGGGATAATGTTTTTCAACTTTTGGTTGTTTTCATGATTCCCTTATGAAAGGAGGGCAGAGTTAAGGTGGTTTGAGTTAACTCTGAATTTGTGTACTTACAAGTATCTTGGATTTTTTTTTTTTTAAAGGGGGAACTTTAACTTGGAATTTCCAGGCTCATTAACGTGTGTGTTAAGAAAATTCGTAGTTCTTTTCAAGGGTTTGTTTTTTCAAGAAGTGATTCTTACAACTTTAATTTCAGTTTGTTATGGAAAAATAGCTTCTATTTTAAGTCAAACATAAATATTAAGTCCTTTTGTATCCTTGAATTGTCCTGTCCAATACTGTGTGAGCAAACAAAAGGTTCTTAATTTGGTTTTGGTCAATGGCTGTCTTTAGGGACATCTGTAGAAAGAAGCTGGATATGAGTAGGTTTGGGAAATCCAGACAGAGATGCAGTCCTGTTTGTTAGGAGCCAGAACAAAGTGAGGCTGCTTTTGTAGGATTTCATTGTTGATCCATGTTCATTATAAAAAGAAAAGGAGTACTTGTGGCACCTTAGAGACTAACCAATTTATTTGAGCATAAGCTTTTGTGAGCTACAGCTCACTTCATCGGATGCATACTGTGGAAAGTGTAGAAGAAAGTGTACACTTTCCACAGTATGCATCCGATGAAGTGAGCTGTAGCTCACAAAAGCTTATGCTCAAATAAATTGGTTAGTCTCTAAGGTGCCACAAGTACTCCTTTTCTTTTTACGAATACAGACTAACACGGCTGTTACTCTGAAACCTGTCATGTTCATTATGGCATTTCTGGCCTGATTCTCAAGGTTCTGACTGTGTTCTAATGTAGTGATGGCTGAGCATTGGCTTTCCTCTGCAGACACAGAATGGGATAGTGTCTGTTGTGATGAGAAGAAATTTGCTTTCAAAACTGTAGTGTCATTCAAAAAAAGGCAATGAACCTACCTTTCATCTAAATTTATTAACAAAAGTAAAATAGTGGCATGCGGCTGAAAGGAGCCAAACATCTCTTTAGTTTGAGGAGTGGAGAGATAGGAAACTTGTTAGCAAAATGCCTCTGATACTTTGGGCATCACAATACATATCAAAACACTTGATAAACACACTTGCAAAGAAATTCTCTTCTAAAAAAGATTTGGGAAAGGCTTTTGTGTTGCTAGACGTCAGATGCTCTTTGCCCTTGGAAACATAATTCTCTGGAATTTGGCAGTGGGTTGGGAATTAACAGTAGTGCCAGTCATGAGGGTGTGAGGACTTGCATCTTTTATGTGATGTTTCAACATATGAGTCTTCCAAAGAAAGAGAAACTTCCTAAAAGTCTAATATACAAACCCCCAAAATCTTATGCTTGTTAGTACTGACCTCTTGAGCAAATATGCTACTAAAACATTGAATTCCACTTTTCACTGCTTTGATCTGAGAAGCTTTCAGGGATTTTAATCTGCATCTCAAAACTGTAGGGAATGGACTGCCTCACAAAGCAGCTTCAACTTTTTTTCTTAGGGTTCTGTATCTTATATGAGAAGTTGAAGTGGTATATGGGAGACAAATGTTGAACTTTCTAGATGCTTGTTTTTAATGGGGCTTTTGTGGTTCTTGATATTGTAGTTTTTGAAAGTTCCTGTTATGTCATGCATTCGTGCATTCTGAGCCCCCATGTTAGGTTACATTGTTCTGCTTGAGAGCCTGTTTGTGACTGCTGGTTTGCTGGGATTAGCTTTTTTGTTATCTCTTTATATTTGTCTAAAGGTATAGTAAGAAGTAAAGTGAATTGAGTAAAAGGACAAGGCCTGTGAATTCAGAGAGAGAGACAGTATGTAGATACTCTAGTGATGGAAGGCTTCTGACACTCGGGGTGCCAGGGGTCTCTGGGCTTCTGCCCCACAGGAGCACCGGGGCTCACGGCTTTAGACCTGGGGGAGCACTGGGACTCAGGGCTTTAGCTACAGGGGGAGTGCTGGGGCTGAAACAGGCACTCCCCTTATAGCTAAAGCCTCAGCACCCCATGAGTAGCTGAAGCTGGGAGCGGAGCTGCAGGGCTGAAGCCCTGAGGCCCAGCACCCCACATGAGGCTGAAACTGGGAGTGGAGCCGCAGGGCTGAAGCCCTGACCACCCCTCCACCCTGCGGCTGCAGTTCCAACCCCTGTGGCTCAAGCCCCGAGCCCCAGGGCTAGAGCCCCAAAGCAGTGCAGTATTTGCTTTTTGTTTGGGTTTTTTTTGTCTGTGCTGCTGCCTGATTGATTGACTTCCAGTTCCACAGGTTGTCCAGTTGACCAGCAAGTCCGTAACTCTGATGCTCATACCTTTGAGGGTCTACTGGATAGCAGTAAAGAGGAAAATTATGGTTAAGTGGAATTGTTTGAAAATGTCATTTAGGCATTTGAAACTAAAGACTAATAAAATGTGCTACTTTTTCTGGCGGGAAAACCTTTACATGATTATCTGACAAATTCACATAAGATACTGGAAATTAAAGCTGACTGCAATTGAAGTGTGGTATTTACTTTAGATTTCTAACATGGTCTTGCTGGCTAGTGTATTAAAAAAAGGGGGGGGGGTTTGCTGTTAATACAAAGGTCCCTACAAGCTATAGGGAAACTGCATTAATATTTTGCCAGCAAGAATGGTCTAAACATGGTTCTTGACTGACAGTTTGAACTATAGTCATACCAGGCTTTAACATGCAGTGGAAAACTATTTTCAGCGTCAGTGAGATGATTTCTAAACATCTCTGAACTATGCTGCCTCTACACTGGAACATGGTAGCAAGAGTGCTATTTAACAAGCTGATGCTGGTCCTGAGGTTGCATCTACACAGGCAGTTTTGGGGGAAACCTCCTATCACCAGTACATCTCCATTGGCTGTAACAGTCGTGGGAGTACTAATGCAAATTGTGGTAAAACTGTTGTAGGCTGATCTACACTAATGCTCCCAATCTTGGGAGGTTTTATGAAAATTGCCATTGTGGATAAAGCCTGGAATGTTACCAAGAACACAACTGCAATATTACAGGGATGGTCAGTGAATAGTGTTGTGAATTAGTACTCATCAAAACATACACCTAGCTAACCAGCTCTGTAAGCCCTCCTGCAAATAAGATCAACACTCTTTAAAACTAATGGAACTTATGTAACTTACGTAAATTAAGTTGTCATGGGATAAGAGAGAAGATCCTTTCATGGATTGAGAACTGGTTAAAACACTGGGAACAAAGGGTAGGAATAAATGGTAAATTTTCAGAATGGAGGAGAGGGGTAACTAGTGGTGTTCCCCAAGGGTCAGTCCTTGGACTAATCCTATTCAACCTATTCATAAATGATCTGGAGAAAGGGGTAAACAGTGAGGTGGCAAAGTTTGTAGATGATACTAAACTGCTCAAGATAAGACCAAAGCAGACTGTGAAGAACT